AAAAAAAAAGAAAGGACAAAAAAAAGGAAGAATTTGATTGCCTCTTCTTCTTCTTCTCCTCCTCCTCCGATCTCAGTATTGCTCTCCTTATTGTTGTTATTATCCTCTTCTTTTTCTTTTTTTTCTTCTTTCGTACTACTATATATATATATAGATAGATAGAGAGATAAATATTGGTTTACATCATAACTCACCATTCCCCAGGAAATACAACAAACAAACAAACAAAAGAGGAAAGAAACCACCCGCACACACACACACACACAGGTACGCAAAGATATATAAAGGCAATGGATAGGATGAAATAAAAAAGAAAAGAAAAAAATGCGTACGAACAGCACCTTTCACGCAAACACACAGACAAACAGAAAGGAAAAGAAAAAAGAATTTCATACATAGATACGTACACATGCACATTCTCGTGTGCACGGTGGTTGTGCAGAGAAGAATGAGAAAAAAGAAAAGAAAAGAAAAAAGAAAAAAGAAAAGGAAAGAAAAGAAAATTATCTTTAAATGCCCCCTCTGTATTTCTCTTGTCAAGTCTATGTATGTACGTCATTATGTAGTCATTCATATCTTCTCATCCTCACTCCCCTCCCCTTTTCATTCTCTACAAATACACACACACACACACACACACACAAATAAACAAACAATCAAACAAACATCCGACCATTTTAATATATATATATATATATACTTTTTTTTCTTCATTTTCTTCTTTCCCTCTTTCTTTCCTTCCTTCCTTCTCAGCCCATTTAGCAGAGTAAACTGTAGATATATGTGTACATGGATATAAATCAAATATATATATAAATATATAAATATATAAATACATATATACGTGCACGTGTATACTAAACGCGAAGTGTATAATTCATTGAAATAAGAAAAGAATAACAAGAAGACGATTGAACACTGAACACCAACCTACTCCCACACATCATCAGAAAGGTTTTCCCACATTCCACATCATCTTTCTCTTTCTCTATCTATCTTTCTTTTTTTCATTCATTCTCAGTGGAACACACAACACCAAAAGTAAACAGTCTGTCACTCACTTCTCTCACCACATAGGGTGGACCTCGGCCATGCCATGAAGAGCCTGTAAGCATAGATGACCGCTTTATCCCAACTCCAACTCCACTATTATTACTATTAGCATTAGTAGTAGTATTAGTAGTAGTAGTAGTATGATGATAACTACCAGCCGCAGCCGCGCCAGCACCATTATTGTTATTATTACTACTACTACTACTATTACTATTACTACTTTGGGTATGCTTGTTGTAGTTGTACCTGTTATTATTATTATTATTATTATTCCCGGTGTGTAAACTTCCATCATTGGCGGCCGCCCCGGTGCTGCCGAGGAGAAATCCTCTACTCGGCCCCGTCAGTCTTGGCGAGACGACGTGGTGTGGCGGCGTCGGCACAACACCACCGGCGGGTTTATCAAAACTCGCAACGACATCCGCCACATCGTGAAAGAAGAGAAGCATCACAGAAACATTATCGGTACTTCCACGGTCAATGGCGAACTCGGCGAGTTTTTGACAACAGTTGTTTAAGGCTCTTTTAGTGGTTTCTGGTGAGGAGCCGACATCTGGGGTGTAGCTTAGGAAATCCCGCACAAATTGAGTGGCCTCTTCATTCTCCACCACATCCCAAAGACCATCACAGGCCATTAAGAGAAATTTACTAGAATCCGTTAAATTGATTTGTCGCACATCAGCAACATTGGAAACCATTAATTCTCGATTTGCAATAAAACGATTACCATTAAATTTAAATTCATAATCTCCTAATGCCCGACTCACGGCGAGAATTCCACAAACTCTACCAAATTGAACAAATCCACCACATTGAAGAATACGTGTATGTTCCTTTTTATTTGTGGGTTTATGATCTTCACTCATTGGGATTGTCATGTTGCCATCATACAAGACCGCACGAGCATCCCCTAAACAAGCTACATACAACATTCTCCCATGCACAGCAGCCGTAATGAGTGTACATCCACCACTACTCGTACAACTAACACCAGGTCCACTTACTCCACCTTTACCTAAGGCATGAAAAATGGCTCGATCAGCTTGTATAATAGATTCTACAAAGGCTAACGCATTATTTTCACCAAGGGCAGAATGGGATAAAAAGTTATCAGGTACATACTTGGCTGCCAAATCGGCTACACGACGACCACAATGTCCATCAAGAATACCCAATAAAGATACAGGTTGTCCTGCTACAGATGTGGCATTTAATCTAATAAAATGTTCATCTTCCATTGTAGGACGAAGTCCTTGAACACATCCTACACCTGTTGTCAATTTAATAGGAGAGTTAAAACTTTTCCCTGTACTCGCTACCACACGGAAATCATACTGAAGATTATTCTTACTAGTCATATCTTCAGTAACACTAGTGGGACTACGTTTACCCCCACTTAAAGCACCACTAGAAAGACTACTTCGCCGTGGGTTTGCCCCTGATGATGTTGTTGTCGTCGTCGTTGTTGTTGGAAGATTTGGTGATGATGGTAACTGTGTGGAGCCTAACTGTTGTAATTTAACAGATGCCAATGCAAATGGTGGAGAGACATTTTTACCCCATCGTCCTCCATTACCACCGCCACCAGTACCAACATCTGCTTCTGAGGCTAGATGTGCGCCCAAACCATTTAACACTTGTGTAGTGGCAAATGGATCCACCGCCTCTTGTTGTTGTCGTCCGCGAGTGTGACGTGGGGAAGCCAAGTTTGTTTCTATACCATTTCTTGTTTGTCCAAATACAGCTGTAGGACGTGGTGGCATTGGAGATAATCGTTGATTCCCATTCGCATTTAAGGCAAAATGAATGGGACGACTTCCCCCCAATTTAGGTCCTCCACTACCAGGTGGATGTGGTCTTTGTTGTTGTTGTTGTTGCTGTTGAGATGATTCCCCCGCACCACCGCCTTGATTGGCCGGCACACGTGTAGAAGGAGGACCGGAAAAAGCCTTTCGAGTACCACCAACACCAACACCAGCACCACCATTATAGTAACGATCATTATTGTGAGTTCCACCAAGTGTGGATCCACCGAGAACAGCAGCTACATTATCACTGGCATTGCGTTTCGCCGTTGGTTTAGGTGGTAAACGGCGGTCTATAATATTACGTCCATTTCCAGCTCTAGGTGATGGCACATGACCAGCATGCCCAGATTCCTCATCATGTACTATATTGCTCCTAATAATATTATTATTGCTATTATCGCTGTTGTCATTGTTGTTGTTGTTGTTGTTGTTGTTATGGTTATCTGTCTTTGGTATTCCCAATTTACCCTGCAAGGAACTTCCTGTGAAGAGTGTGTTTGTGGTTTGATAAGCAGAGGCGCCTCCTCGCAGGGAATTAAATAAAAGTGGAGTTCCACTACTGCGGCGGGTATTACTGCGGGGCGGTACGGTCTTTGGCACAGATGGGGTCGCACTCCGCGAGTTCTGATCTCCTACAGTTCCACTCACATCTCCTTTACGCAGAACTCCGGGCTTTGTGGTGTTTTTCGACGAAGTGGAGAGCGGTGGTTTTCGAACAGACATGTACATCACGAGAAGAGTAATAATAACAATATATATATAAAAATAAATAAATAACCTGCCTCTTTACAATTCACACACACACACAGACTCGCAAATTCCCCACAAGCTCACTCACACACTCACTCACTCACAGAGATAGATAGATAGATAGATAGAACCAAATAAATAGTAATAACGAGAATGATAGTGGTAATGGTAATAATAACACTAATAATAAAAGGAGGAAAAGTAAACGAAAAGTAAAGGAAAAGTTGAACAACGAAAAAAAAAATTTGCTTCTTCTTCCCTTTATTTTGTTTTTCCCTCCTTTTCTCTTTTCTCTTTTTTTTTGCTTTCCTTTGTATTCGTTTCTTTTTTTTAAATTCCTCCCTTTATTCTTGTTTGTGTTGAATTTCCCTTTCTAATATTTCCAGCCTTGTTGGCTCTAATTGGCACACACACTTCGCACCCCAACCCTTCTTTAGCCGCTCCTGCTGGTGCAATGGCGGTGGCTGGAGAGGAGATGCGGCACTTAATGCCAGCCAGTGTCTCGTTTCCTTCAAATCTTCACTGTACTCCAACAACAAGAATAATAATAAGAAAGAAAGAAAAAAAAAGAAGAGATCATAACAAGAAAGAATGCACAAAGAAGAAGATTAATCAGAAGAACCCATTATCAATGGGAACATATGTATATACATAGACATATATATAGATAGATATGTATAAATTAACATACAAGTGGGAAGGGAGGAAAGGAGGATAGAGTGAAAGAGTATAGATAGCGAGATGAATAGAGAGAATATTATCTCTAATGTACTACCCTCATCCTCCTGTTTTCATTTTTTACCCTCCTTTTTTTTTTTTCAAAAAACTTACAAATAATAACAATAATAACAACACACATCGATTTTCTTCCTTCCATTACGCATTTGTTTTTCCCACATTCACTTTCCCTTTGTCTCTCTCTCCCTCTCTCTCTTATCAAAGCACAAACCAGAGCCATGAAAGAAAAAAATGGGCGAACACAAAAGAATAAGAACGAAGGAGATAGATAGAGAGAAAAGGAAACGGTGATAAGAGAAAAATAACAAAAAAAAAAA